ATTTGTAGGCAGTCTTTACCCATGACGGAACGTAATGTAGCCATTCTGACTTTGTCGCTTCGAGATTCGAGACCTGTWGCGATCTCGTAATCGCACCATTGTTGTTTGAAAAATTCCCAGTTGTTGACTTTGGTGTTCATAGACGTTGGAACCGGGAAATTGATGTGAACATTGGTCCTTGTGGACCGTTACTGGTTGCACTGGTTGAAGGTTGATCCTTCGTCATGTTTGTAGAATAATGAAAGCGTTTTAGTTCGCGTTAAGTTCTGACACCATGTTTCAATGTTCGCAAGTTGGTGGCGTAGATGAACTGCTTTATTCAGACTAAAGTATTCAATTGCAATGACGTAATAAAGCAATATTGTAACAATTATCAGGTATGACAACTTGTTGATTGTTGTCATATATATATACAATCATGTACAAAAGACAAAATGTAGACACTGAATCTCAAAACATTCTTAGTTTGTCCACTATAATTAACGAACTTTTCAACTGAAAGTAAATGCTTTATTAGTAGAGAAGGTAGAGACACATGCGTATCCTTTTATAGGGAGACACACTAGCCAATAGTACCTACGATGTTTGCATAATCATGATCTTTTACAAAAATTATAATTATATTGGACTCGAAAAGATTCTTTAATCACTACTGTTAAATAGGCAATTGAGCAGCGAAGCCAATTTGTGCAGCAAAGCATGATGGTAGTTGTAGTCATTGTACTTTTCATAAACCCTCCTTAAAAGCCGGTTTTACATTTTCTTTTCAAAAATGGCACAAATACCTCAGCCTGTTTTCAGTTAAAAAAAGAAAAAACTAGGTAGGAGGACTGTTTTTAGCAGACATAAAAAGTGCGAGGACTACAACTACCATGATCCTTTTCTGCACAAAATGCATTGCTGCATGTTGCCTTTWGGAGGTTACATCATCATCACACTAGACATTATACATGTAAGATACATCWTGGACTGACATGAACACATTCAATTGTACTTACAGTTAACTTGCAATGTGACATTGATGCTTTCTYTCCCAATAGAATTGATGGCAGTACATGTGTACATCCCAKCATCATCTAAGGTAGCATTACTGATAATGATGGTATTGTTTATTGGACTGTGTAGATTTTTGTGTTTGAACATCCAGACATAATCAGGMTTTGGRTTTGCAATGGCAGTGCATGTGACGTTGATTGGTTGTCCTTTRTTGACATACAARAAACCACTCTCTGAGTTGACTACTGAGAGCTGTTCTGGTTTATCTGAAACAAAATATCATTAAGTTTTTAAATATCATTAATAAAATACTAAAACTAATAAACTCCCTGTTGAAGTAAAAAAACAACAACATGAAAATAGAGTGATTTCAATATATATGTTGTAGTTCTGGTTCAATATGATTTTGAACCAGTTCAATTTCTTCTGAACTGGTTCAGTTTATTTTGAGCCAGTCCAATATAACTCAATCCAGTACAAATCAGTTTAGGGTTAGGTTTAGGGTTAGGTTTTAAGGGTTGGGAATAGGGTTGAGCCAGCATTAT